ACAGTTTGAGCCTCAAGACTTCCCCTGATGAAAAACAAGGTGCGAGCGCCAGGAGGGGCACTTCAATTGAGAAAAATACAATGTGCAACTGAGGGGGGATCAACAATAATTAACCCCAGGAAGCATTTAAGAAACCCCCAGGCGATATCTTAGCACCGCATTTTTATTCGATATTCCGAGGGGCCGAAATAACCGAACGATAGGTTTAGCACCCGGACACAAAACAAATTCGCGGAGGCCTGGCCCCTGGGCCACAATCGAAATTCGAAATTCAAATCTGCGTGGCTCTCATGAAAGACTCAGGATGTCGCTTGCTGCTTGGAAAATTCATGCAATGATAATAGTATTAATATTCGCAAGCATATTTGATGACTCCTAACGACTTGAATGGATCCATCAGGTTTCATACAAGTTCCGCAGGATTCTCAAGGATTCCTACGGATTCACAAAGATTCGTCAGGATTCATAAAAGATTCAAAGGATGTCCAGGGATTCCTGAATATTTCCAAGGAATCCAAAGGATTCCTCAGGAATCTGGAGAATTCCAAAAGATTCGCAAGAATTCCTTAAGAGTCCTAAAGGTTTTCCTTTACTGCTTATGAATTCCTGTTCCTTGTCTTGCTCCTCCTTCTCCTCTCCTCCTCCTCCTCCTCCTCCTCCTCCTCCTTCTCCTCCTCCTCCTCCTCTCTCCTCCTCCTCCTCCTCCTTCTCCTCCTCCTCCTCCTCCTCCTCCTCCTCCTCCTCCTCCTGTTCTCTCTTCTGATATGCTGGCCTCTTGGAAGAGATTTCTCATTCAAAACCCTTCTAGAAATTGATTTTCATCGGCCGTCCTAGGGGAAGGTCCACGAGAGGGTATCCCGCCCCCCACCGCACCGTGGCGTTATCTTAGCACCCGGCCACGCGAAAAAACACTCCAGTTCTATTCCTGCGGGTGTCCTAGGGATTCCTAAGGATTTATCTAGGATTCTTAAGGATTCCCTTACGATTCCTGCGCCTTCCTAAAGCTTTCTGTGGATTCCTCAGAATTCCAGAAGACTCCTTTAAATTCCTAAGGGCTCGTCACAAATTCCAGGGGATTCCTCATGAATGTTAGGATTCCTAAGGATTCCTACAGGGTCCTCAGGATTCCTGAGGATTCCTAGAGATTCCTAAACATTCGTTCTCCTCCTTCTCTTCCTCCTCCTCCTCCTCCTCCTCCATCGCCTCCTCTCCTTCCAGTGCTTCAGACTTGTGAGCGACGCTTCCATCTCATCAAGAATCCAATCTGACCTGGGCAAGACACAGGACAATCTGCCGACGATCCG